CAGCGTTGCATATGTGACCACCATGCTAGGCTGTACACTGAGGCTCGGAAAGCGTGTTCTGAAACATTGCGCCGTGAAAAGCAAGATGCATGGAGGGAATTCGCTTCAAAGTGTAACAGAACGACCCCACTCAGTGAAATCTGGGGACAAGTACGTTCCTTTTCCTCCCGCAGGAATACAGTGAGGTCCTTCCCACAACTCACAGTGAATAGTATGCCGATCACCCGATGCGATGAAGTAGTAAACGCCTTTGCACAGCATTTTTCAAACGCTTCATCGTCCAATATATTTCCACCAAATGTCCACTTAGAGCTCACGAGCAAAACAAACAACCTTAATTTTGATTCTGATAACACAGAAACATACAATGCCCCTTTTACACTAAAAGAACTGAAGCTGGCGCTTAACAAATCAGAGGATAAAACATCGGCAGGTCCAGATACAATGCCGTACTCCTTTTTCACCAATCTCAATGAGTTAAATCAAACAACCTTCCTTTTAGCGATAAACAAGCTCTGGAACAGTCACACTTTCCCAGAATCCTGGCTTCAAAGCATAATTATCCCGATTCTAAAGCCGGGCAAGGACCGGCAAGCCGTAGACTCCTATCGGCCAATATCGTTGACCAATTGCTCATGTAAAATTATAGAACGAATGATAAACCTTCGGCTGAGATATTTCCTTGAGACCAAGTCTCTACTGGACCCATTCCAAAGCGGTTTTCGAAGTCATCATTCTACAGCAGACAACATAGCGCGCCTTGTAACGGACATACAAATAAACTGGAAACGGAAATGTCCTACTATCGCGGTGTTTCTTGACCTTACCTCTGCCTTCAACAAGATTCACCGCGAGACTGTCATATACAAGCTGTACACACTAGGCATCCGAGGACACTTGGCTCACTTCCTCTGCAACTTTCTACAGACCAGGTCGTTCAAAGTTCGCTGCCAGAACTCTCTATCAGGTACTCATTTCCTTGAACACGGTGTCCCACAAGGCAGCGTTCTCTCTCCAACTCTATTCCTGATAGCCATTAATGACATCTTTCTCACACTTCCACGGTCATTAACCTCCGTCCGATACTCACTATTTGCAGATGACCTAGTTCTATGGTGTGCAAACAAAAATGTTGAAAAGTCATTTTCAATCTTGCAAAAAGCGTTGGATCACTGTGTCGAGTGGTGCGCTAAATGGGGCTTTTTTATATCGGCTCCCAAGTCGGCAATGATGATATTCAAACGTGGACCGATCCCATCCCTGGCCCAATCCCCCAAAGTAGGAACTGAGCCCATTCCCTATAAACGGTCTCACAAATTCCTCGGAATTACACTTGACTCGCACTTGACGTTCAGAGACCACATCGAAGATATCAGAGCTCGATCCTTGAAACGAGTCAATGTATTGAGGTGCATATCCGGCTTTTCATGGGGAGCAGATCGAAAGACTCTGAAAACGCTCTACATAGGCCTGATCAGATCAACAATTGAGTACAACAGCTACATTTTCAGCACTATCTCACCCACGCTTTCAAAACGACTAGAAACTATCCAATCAATGTGTCTCCGCTTGATAACAGGAGCATTCCGTACCTCACCCATACTCGCCCTTCGCGCCGACACTGACCTACCAGCGTTGGAAGATCGAAGACTTCTTCAGATCCTCCGATACTACTACAAAACAAACTGCGTTAAAAACCATGGTGCGTCAATAGCATTGGAGACTGCGCAACCCCACACGCGGAAACCTCGACGACCCATATGCTGCCTCCCAGATGCTGTTAAACATGCCCGACAAATCCTTAACATCCCAGATATGAACCTAGCCGCAAGTCCCCCACCAATGCCATTCTGGGAGTACAATGATCTCTCAATCATCTACCTTATTCAAGAAAAGAAAGCAAACCTATCACAAACAGATATCCAATCAGCCTTCCACGAATATAGATACACAAACGAGGAAGACGTTTTCTTTTTTACGGACGGCTCGGCTCACAGCAACAGAGTAGGTGCTGCCGCAGTAGGACCACACTTTAGATTCTCGGCGCGCCTTCCGGATACCAGCACGGTTTTCACGGCTGAAATTTACGCAATCAACAAAGTCTTGCTTCATATCAAAGCCAACCGTATCCCTCAGTCAACGATCTGCACAGATTCTAAATCTACTCTCCAGGCCCTTCAAAGAAGCGAAGACTTCACAGATCCCGGAATTTACGAAATTCATCGCCTAATTACGTCGCTCCCAAGCGACCAGCATGTTACCCTTCTTTGGATCCCGGGTCACTCGGGAATCGAGGGAAACGTTTCCGCTGACTTACTAGCCAAACAAGCTGCGCTGCTCCCTGTCCATGAAGACCTGAAAGTATCACTAGGAGACGCTCTTCACACAGTGAAGATGAAATTTGCCGAATACCTACAGGAAAAGTGGGAACACAATCATTCGAACCACATATTCAACATAAAGCCCAAGCTATGCCCGTGGCCCTCAGCCTCCCAAAGCAGCAGGAAACGTGAAGTATTGCTAGCTCGACTAAGGTGCGGACATACACGTGCAACACATAGCCACTTGTTTGACCGTACAGCCCCGCCCATCTGTCCCACATGCGACGTGCGGCTTACGGTCGAGCATATCCTTATAGGGTGCATAGGGCTTGTCCAAAATCGGCTTCACATAAATAACTATTTAAGACATCATGGTTTGAGGAACAACCTAAGTACATTGCTAGGGAATGATTACCCGGATCTAACTGACCTAGTCCTTGAATTTATAATGAACTCCCCCTATGTAGACAAGCTATGAAGAGACTAGTAGGACACCTCTTATTGTAGCAACGAACAATCTGCCCGGGACGCTCGGATCTGAAGTAGAGGCCAGCTGGGCTCCCAACAGATTCATTGCTTTGTGGCGGTCCAGGATCTGAGAGAGACGCTGGACCTGGACCTCAACGGTTATATTCGGGCGGTACCGAAGCAGCTCAATCCCAACTACCATATACTCACATCACAATATCCCGATGGCTCTGGGTCTGGAAGAGCGGCCGGACCCGAGCCAACGGGCCTGATGAAACCACTCTCAACGAGCCGCCCCCGCCCTACCCCATCCGGGCCAACCCGTGCCCGGCCGCCTAGCATCTGCTGGGCAGGCCGGGCCGCCGGCCCGTCGCGTGGACCGCCTGTGGCCCGCGCTGGACGGGCCGGTGGTCAGGGGGCGCCGCCCCGCGGTGATAGGCGCAAGGCGGCGCGGGCGGGGGCAGAGACTGGGCCGGAACAGCCGACCAGGCCTGAAACTACATCAACCGACGAGATCAACCGACATCAACTACATCACAATCCAGACAAGGTTAGTGGAGGTAAGGACCCAAAAACCTCGTAACGTAAATAATAGGGTTTTCCCCACGCACATGTAATATAATAAGGTGTTTTGGCCTATATTACCAATAATTCCACTTATTTGAAAAATTACATTTGCGTGGGTTTCCCTATTCTGCCTTAAAAAGTGGCCACCGGTCTCGCTTCACGAGCTGGATAGCCTCCTCCTCGCCAGGCCGAGGATATATAAGGCCACTAAAAAAAAAAAAAAATAGGTTTTAGTCTAAGATTTAAAAATCGTTAGATCTCCGCTGACGTCACAAATTCTAAGGGGGCATTCCAATGCATTAGCCCCTTAGAATCCGAAAACTGCAAGTTTGAAATTCCATATCTTCGAATTAAAGCATTTTTCGATGTTGTGAGTGCCCAAACCGGTATTTGCAGGCCATGGCCACCAATTTGGCTATCTCAACTCAAAACTAATGTTAAGGTGGGAGTGTCCCTTTAATGAAGAAAATGACTTACATTTTACTCATAATAACAATCTGAACCCCAATGTTTGCTTCTATATGAAGTTTGGCGCATAACGGCTCGCGTATTTGGAAATTCCAATAACGGGCGTCGTGGAAACTCCGCTCGATGCACTGAACAGACAAAATTGGGCGCCATAGATGGCCTTGATTGGATCCAATCAAGGCCATCACTTCCGCGTACTTTGAATTAGACTGAGACAAAGCTAGGCTCCTCGAGGAGCCTTTGTCTAATTCAAATTACGCGGATAGGTCAGTGTATGGTATATCACGTTTTTTATGATATAAACTAAACATAAATGAACGTAAAAATGGCTAGCTCGGACTTACCAAGTTCAGACAACTTGTCATAGTTGGACTTCATGTTGCAATAAACTTGCTTCTCGAGATCACTTAGGGCTCTCCAGGCGTCCTCGGCAAAGAACTGTCGTATGTGTATAAACTTCTCATCTTCGACATCCATCCTTCGGTCGCAACAGCCAGCAAGGGCGAACACGAAAATAACACAATCGCGATATTATAGGAGCTATATCAATCTATTGCTTTTCAAGATAGATCCTAGCCACCTATTATCGACTCAAGGCCTCCTCCACGTGAGCCACTATCTTCCAACACCAATTCAGATTCAAAATCCGTGCAAAATCCCTATTATTTGCTGCTGTTTGCTATGCTGTTTACATTTATTTTCATATGTTTTAGGGCCTTGTGCTTACATTCATCTTCTGCTTGAAACCGGAAGATATGTTCAAGATTTCATAGAAATAAGTTTAACATGCATTTCAGTTGTATTTTGTTGAATATCCTGCAATTTTGCCAAAAAATTGAATTGAAAAGGAAAATAAATTATTCATTACATGAAATAAAAAAGAATATGAAAAGGAGGGCTATGAATAAGTTTTCAAAAAGCTCTTGAAAAATTTACAGCTCCTTTTTTAGGCACTCCTTTTACGACAAAATTGTAAGTTTCTGATGAAACTTGCGTAATTAAAAAAAAACAATAACTATTATTTAGAAACTCCTATTAATAGTCATTTGTTGCCTGATGGCTTTAAATATGCATAAAAATATGAAAAAAACATTATTTACTCTTTGATGACGCAATCAATCATTGACAAATTTAATGTGTAATTCATGCTGATGCTAAAGTCGAGTTCGCCGCACAGGTAATTTTGTTGTATGTTGATGCCTGCCGTCATCTGCCGTCATAGTCGGCAGTCGGTTTTTGTTTATAATAATTGCTGGGTGTGATTGGTAAGTACCTTTTTATTCTTCAATTCGTTTTTTCCGATTCATATTTAATTTGTACAGTTTGAAACCCCCACCCCTGGATCTTTCGTCAGCGTTGACGTGCGCTGCAAATTTCGTCATAGATCAGTAACGCAGTTGGGGACAATACGAGGCGAAGATAAAACATTGATTGGTCAATAAATGGACTTTTGATGACCATATATGGGCATAAATGCAGCCCCGCTACTAAGGGTGAAAAATGGTTAACAAGCCGGTAGGTACTTGCGGTATCGTGTCCACTTATCGGAGAGAAAAGGCTTCCATTTTCCACTAGGAATTAGCGTGATCTGATTAAATTTGGCAAATTGACTTGTAAATGGCGATAGGAAAACTGTTTTTCTGCAGGTTCTGGACGTCACAATCAGCTGGCCAATTCAATAAATTGATTGGTGTTTTGAAAGAAAATTGTTAAAAGATAAAATTTAATTACAATAAACAAAGATATTTAATTTTGAAAAAATAACTTGACCAAAATTAGAAAAACCATAATCAAAATCATAAAAATAACCGATAACGAAATTTTTAAACCGCGGTACCGCTTACATTTTTTGGCGCCTCTTTCAATCCACCATATTTGCCAATCACTGTTTGACCTTGTGTTGTAACTCTGCGATTTAGACTTTAGAGCCGCCAGTTAATTGTGCACCGAGTGAGTGAAGGCCTTCACCTTGTGTGGTTAAAAAACATTCTTGTGCCTTATTTTTTCATTTGAATGCTAGGATGCATTGAAAAGATGAAGTTGTCTGATTTTATGACCATATATGGTCATCGCCCCGCCCACTCCAGCCGTTGATTGGCTAATCCAATTTTTGTTTGGCTCCTCGTAGTTTCCCCAACTGAACGCACCCTAATCCACGAAGAAGAGGAAGTCATAGCTTGAGCTGGTACCCCAATGCCAACTCAATTAATTTGTTTTTTACACAGAAACGTAAGCACTTAGCACTCTCGGCACACCTTGCGTAACCTTGCCCTAATGCCCACATTTCAGTATCAAAAAACTTTGTTTACCAAACACCTAACATTTTTCTTTCCTCTGGAATTTGCAGCTCAGAGTGTGCGACTGCAGAATGATTCATATTGCTGTGCGGCATGCACAAGGATTAGCGATTGTAGTCACCACCATGCTACATTTTAGACGTTAATAGGTTGAGTCACTTTTTGGCAGTGCTTTGGCATCTGGGCCAATATAGCAGATGTGGCACTCTGAGCCAGTCGACAAAAACATAAATGATTTGATACCTAACTCAAGGTTTTTGGAAAATGTGTGAAGATGTAGTCAGGTTGACTTCATTTTTGTAGAATAAATCTTTATTATGCATGCATAATTTGATATCCTAAATCCAAAAATGATTCCAAAATGTATCACAAAAAAACAAAATAATACAAAACACAAACCCCTCACCTCCTTGCAGAATGCAGCATGATAACTATGCATGCACATGAAAAGAAAAGAAATTGATAGTTATAGATGTTGCATGGCTGGCAATATAAAAATTGAAATAGAATAGAATGAGAATAATAGATAATATTGAAGCATTCTTCAAAATTTATTATACATAATATGAATCCTTTTCAAATAAAATTCTTTTTTCTGCAATCATGTGGCTAAGTACCAGCATGAGCAGCATAATTCAATGTTGTAGAGTAATAACCATTTGCTCACTGTCTTAGAAAGTCTGAACTCGGCCTAAAATGAATGAATAAATTTCAGAAACGCTCCTTTTTCAGTAAGTAAATTAACCATATGTTGTTGCAGCAACATTTGCTGTTGTTGCACACAACCAGATGATGTTCAATGCAACTGAATTTGTATTTCAATGCAATCGAACAACATCTATAATGGGTTTTCTTTTAACCTTGAAATTGCAGCAAATACATATGTATTTCCATAATGGCAAAGCTGTATTTCCTTTGTGGTGTTTATGTTTATATGTGATTTGAAGAGGTGTGATTGGTTGGTGTTGTGGTGCAGTTTATTTTGTCTTGACAAGACATGTGATGTAAGCATCATTTCCATCGAAGAGTTGTCCGGACTCTGAGTCTGGACTTCATCTTCACATACCTATACCATATTTTATGTGGCAGCGATGAATGACTGAGGAGGTGGGATGCCTGAAGGAAGTCTTTGTGTTATTTGTGGTTGATGACTAGAAATGCTCAACGTTAAACCCAATTATGTTGATTCCAGACATTGTAATCGCAAGAATAAAGAGACAATGTTGTCATAGACAAAATGAGCCAGTGGTGCCAGAAGTTGTGAGATGGAGTTACATTAAAGAGACTCAAGCCTTTTGCACATCTTAGGAAATGCAGGAATTTGCTAAAGAAAATCATGTAAGGAAAGAACGCAGTACACACTGCCTTACTTGTGCCTTGGAAAATCAGACGGCCTCTGAATACTTGGATTATGTACTATTTTTATTGTTTATTTTTGCACTTTTTCCTAAGACAACAAACCCCATCGCTGACTAATTGGCTACAGTGCAGGATGGAAAGTCTTTTCCCAGTGTACTCGAGGGCAGCGCTTTTCGAGGAGCGCTGTGGCCCGAAGGTTTGGACTTTGAATTGTGAAAAACGCCCGCCCGCCGCAAAACGCGAACACCGCAAAACGTGCAAAACGCACGCCCGAAACGCCAACGCAAACGTCGCAAAAAATAAACAAACGCCCGCCCGCCGCAAACCGCAAATAAAAAAACGCAAAAACGCCGCAAACCAATAAAACCGCCCGCATCGCCCGCCCGCTAGCCGTCAACCGAAAACGCCTTAAAATCGCCCGCCCGCCGCCAAAAGCAAACACCGCAAAAAACGAGAAAGCGGCCGCCAACCGCAAACAATTTTAACACCGCAAACGACGCAAAAAAAAATCGCCTGCCCGCCGCCAAAGACAAACACCGCAAAAAACACAAAGCGCCCGCCCGTCTTTTCCCAGTGTACAAAGGTTTTGGCTTAGGTGTGTGCATAGTTTCTGAGCACGTGAAAGTTATCGTTTGCTTCTCCTCCCCATTACGTTTCCCCTCCCTTTCCCATCCCTCCCTTTCCCTTTCCCCTCCTCCAGGCTCCAATATTCTGTCTTGTTCCATATTCCACAGCCCTTTTCACTTCTCACGTTCATATGTTTCTCCCTTATTCAGCAAACCATCTCTCATGAACTAAACTGCTGTCTTGCCCCTGTTCCACAGCTCTCCAGGATGGACTCGCAGAAGTTCTGCCTCAAATGGGACGGGTTCCAGGGCAGTGTCACCTCCGTGTTTGACCAGCTCCGCTCTGGAGGGGAGCTGCTGGACGTCACGCTCTGCTGTGAGGGACAGCGTGTCCGGGCCCACAGGATGATGCTGTCTGCCTGCAGTCCGTACTTCAGGGAACTGCTGAAGGTGGGTGATGTGAATATGTAGCAAGCGAGCTGGGGGCTGATTACAGTAAAAATGAAATGCAAGTTTGACTTATATCATGATTTTTCAATACAGTGAAAGTTGAGTTAATGTAGTCATATAAAGACAATTGAAGTCTAATGGGGAGTTATCACCGTGATAATAGTGAATTCAGTTGAGTGAGTTTGGAGTAGGCAATAATATCTATTTGTAATGTGATGTCCAATGCAGACTTCCCACAATCTGATCAGTCTGTGCTTGTTGATCTGTTTTGCTCAATGATTATCTTGACCTGATCCACATTTGACTCATTGTTTTCCATTGCCAGAGCATATCATGCCAGCAGATGGTAATATTCCTAAAGGATACCACTGCCGCCGACCTGAACGCCATAGTGGAGTTCATGTACAAGGGGAGTGTCAACGTGTCCCAGAGCCAGCTGGCCAGCTTCATCAAGACGGCGGAGATGCTACAGATCAGGGGGCTCAGCGGCGAGGAGGATAAGGTGGGTGTGGGGAGAGAGAGGTAATGGAGAAGGGGAATTGCTGGGACGAGTATGCGTAAAATGAGAGTGGGGAGGGGGTGGATGGGAGCAGAAAAGAGGTGATGGGTGGGGAGGAAGAAAAGGTTATTTGGAGATATGGAAATTATGGGGGAGGGGGCGAAATGGTACGAGGAGAATATTTACGCGACTGATTCTGATTATGTCGCCTCCCCAAACGGAGACTGTTCTAGTTGTAAGTTAATTAGCAGTGTTCGATTCCGATTCTGATCCTGATTCTGTCCCCTCCGCAGCCGCCGGACCCTGTCCCTGCGCCGCCGCCCCGACCGGCGCCGCCGAGACACCACCCGCTGCCGCCGCGGCTGGCCACCCCGCCACCCAAGCGGCGCAGGACCTCTGACAGCGGGGACGCGCCCCTGTCCTCCGGACCCGCACCGGCGTGGCCCCGGCCGGCCGCCTCACCGGCCCGGCGTCCCGAGACGCCCGTCGTGCTGTCGGGGTCTTCCAACCAGTCAATACCGTCTCCGAGTCCAGCTGTGGCCATGTCACCCGCGGCTTCGGCTACGGCTACGGCAGCTTCAGCACCGGCACCGGGTTCAGCAGAAGCGGGAGGAGGGGCTGAAGGAGCGCCTTCATTACCAGCATCTTCATCTACCACACCCTCTGTTGCACCGTCAGGATCTACATTCACATCATCATCGGCAGCACCGTCTTCATCATTCTCGCCATCAGCAGCAGGATCGTCAGTACCGACAGCGCGAAGTCGTGAGACGGTAGCGAAGCACGAGTCTGAGAACATTAAAGTGGAGAAAGTGGATCTGAGTGATGGTGAAGACGGTGGTAGTTTAGATGCCGCCCTGGGGCAGCTCAATGAGTACGAAGGGTACGACGGAACGGCGACCTCGGCTCATGGTGAGAATTGTAGGGGGAGGGGGTTAGGAGCTCAGTGGCCGAGCAAGTTCAGTTTAGTTATGGTGGGGGAGAATGGAGGGTGTTTGGGACCGAATGGTCGAGAGGGTTCATTTTCTTATGCATTTTATCTGTTCATTATTTTACAGTTTAGCCTGTGTTACTCTTTTTTTGCAATAGGCCATCAAATCATTATCATTCATTAGTGGGTTATTTATAGTTTGTGCCCCTTTATCGTATTTTCTGGTATTTTTATTATTTTGTTACGGTTTAAGTTTTTTTAATTTGTGAGTAATGATGTAATAATGTTAAGCTAACGTGCTCGCTTCAGTGTACACGTACAGCCCACCGCTAAAGTAATGTAGGGTTTTACCAATCTCAACGATTGGCTTTGACTGGCGATTGTTTAATGCGGAGTGATCGAAAAGAAGATGTCAATAGCTAAAATTGCAGCTGCAATGGTGACGATACATATAAGCTACATTCAAAGTTTCATTGTAGTCTGGCTAATCGTTCCTAAGCTTCAGAAGCAGAAATACCCATGACTGAAACCCCACATTACTTCTGCTGTGGACTGTACACCCTATTCTAATGTCACGTCCCGTTCTCTTGCTCACCAGCCGCCTAGATATACCTCCTCTAACCCCCCCCCCCGCCCCACAGGCGTATCATTCGCCGGCGGCCACCAGTACGGACCTCTCCCCACCGGTCTGCCGGGCGCCTCTCACCAGTCGCCACATGGAGCACCAATGGAGGACGGATCGGCACCAG